AACTCTCTGGGAGTAGTGCTAATTCTATTTGTTACAGTGCTGTGGGCTGTGCGTGTGTTATGGCACCTGGTTAGAGTGGTTTTGTGTGGGTTACTTAGAAGGTTCCAACAGTTTTTTCTATACTTATGTCAGTGAAATGAAAATAAGCAAATTGAAAAAATCATGGGTGTGAAGCAATTATGTTTTAAAATACAGTAGCATGTTTATAATGGAATATGATATCATAATCATGGGTTGTTCCAATATACTCTTGAGCCAAAAGACATGAAACAGCATGCTTTATATTCTCACTGTGTGTCAGCTTACAATATTCTGAATTTTTTGTCTCATGACAAAATTGTCATGATCAGTTTTAATACCAACTCACCCATGTTAACCACAATCTGGCAGAAACACAGCTCAGTTTCCGAACTCTTCATCAATCACATGATAACAGATTGGAAGTAAGGGCTTAATAAATTTGTCTTCTTTGTCCCAGTGGGGAAATGGCCATTATTGGCTCAATCTAGGTCCTAGACTCAATCAATCTGATAAATGTGTGGCTATTTATTTTCCTATTTCTGCATATCAATCAAGCGAGGACAAATTGATGACATAAAACACACATTTCCTAAATTCATTTGTCACAGAAAGCTGACATCATCATTAGATTTCTTTAAAAGCCTTTATGTTTGTTTTCCACGATTTCATAAATGTATCTATAANTTTTTTTTATCTATCATTCGGACTGCTTATTAAAATACAAGAATAATTCTGTCATGATAATCTCTCACATATGGACACATGGCACATATTGAACGTGTCGAACAGGCAGGTGAAGAGACTTGCACAGTTAATAACTCGATGCTCTCAGCCAGTATTTAAACACACGGACTATGAAATCGCGATTAAAGTAATAAATTCGGCGATCACAATCAATAGCCTTTGGCTCCAAGTTAAAAACGCACATATGTCCTAAGTCATTCCTTTAGTCTTAATGTTTTTGCAGTGCTGGATGCCACGGGTAAAATGGAAAGCGGGATGTTAGACGGCAACACGCGTTGGTACGGCTCGTACAGCGAGTGCAACAAAGTTCAGGCCAGTTTACATTACAACGAAAGCACTGGCTTTAACTCCAGTCAAGCTATTCAAGTCAGTGATTCCTTTGAGGGGCAGTATTGTACAACGATGCTCTCTGGGCCTCAAAGTCTTGTGAGTATTATAAACAGACGGGTTATGATCGCTGTTTGTGTTTTAGAGAGAGAGAGAGAGAGAGAGAAAGAGAGAGAGAGAGAGGTACGTGTGCTTGTGTATAATGCGTGTTAGATTCATATGTAATATTTGTGTATACGTGCTCAGTCACAAATGTTCAAACGCACGCGTGCGTGTAAAAATTTGAGGACAGCATTAAATGAGAAAATATAGAAATTAAAGGGTGATGTAAGTGTTACCTGTATAAGAGCTTTATCAGACTTAGAGCTTTATCAGACTTACGCACCTACACAAACTTTAGCCTTTCTGTCACAGTACCAGTGCATTCATTTCCTCTGTAGGTTGGCCATTCCGTGGCACTAACTCTGGGGATCTGTATCCCTACTGGATGTAGCGGGGAAGATATCAAATCCATGGCTGATAACAGTGAGTATCTGCCGAACCAATCACACACATTGTCCCAGCTCTATGTTCCACTACCAAACAGTTACAGAGCATTGCCCCTAGAATAAAATCCATTTGATCGATGTTTGCACACATTTTTTTTCTTTTTTATTTCATCCTGTTGGCGCGAAAGGTACAAAAGGGCAACGCACATGTCAAAAGACACTTTTAATGTTCAAAATACTACATATTTCATATTAACAAGCAGTTCAGTGTTTGACCATTGGTGCTCAGCTGACTCTGCACTATAAAGTATTAGATTAAACTATCATTTGCTTTCCGAACGAAAGATTTAAAACCATATAATACATGACGTAGAGATCCACTTATCAATTGCAGTATTAAATCTTAAGCTGTGGTTCGTCTCCTGCAAACCGAAAGAGCTACCTTGGGCGTCCGGAACTACCGCTGTATTGTATGTATCACAGAATGTCGACCTGTTAAATACAACAGTACAAATGGCTTGACAACAAACTTAATTTTTGAGTCATTTTGCTAATATAACAAAGAAACAAAGTAAACTTATCATAGACATGCAAAGCAAACCTTTGAAAATTGATTCCAAGTGAAAGCACGTGTAGTACTGTACTAGTGAAAAAAAAGCTTAATATACTGACAGTCAATGAAAACGCATCATTTATTTATCAAATAATATTTTAAGTTCCTTGGCACATTAAGAAAATAACAGTTTTTGTGCGAAATATGACCCTTTTTCAGTCACACAAGGTGAAATAAAGGTCAGAGAAGATCATTAAAATGCAAGGTCACGTGATCAAATCCCTTTGGTTCCGCCCAGCCTCCAGCATCCCCAGGGCCCGCAGTCGCTCTTCCAGTGTCAGACGTGGCATCACTGAACTTTTTTGTCATGTGTCATACTGGATTTGGTGACTACCTTAAATAGGCTTAATTAATCACCATATGTATTGAACCTGATTAATTCACACCAATCACGAAACAGGAAAAACACATGATTTTGTAACAGCTGATCACAAAATGTTGTGGAAATTTTAAACATCCGAGTGATCAGTCCACTCTCTTATGACCAAACAAGTGCATTGATACTAGTTTATATGGTTGGAATCGATTCTCGGTACAAAAAGTACAAGAAAGTCTTCTGATGCGTTTTCATTGACTGTCAGTATAGTAAGATCACCTAAATTCATTCTGAAACACAGACACATTCAAAGTATCACTTTTTTGTTTTCCCTAACAGATGCATTACTGGCTTACTTCTACTCCTGGTCCTGTTGGCCACAATGTATGACGTCATTGATCAATGTTTTCTGACGTCAGGAACAGCACAGAAGGTTTTCCCACGTGACGCCTTGGAGGATAGGGGTCCTACAGTTCAAGCAGATGGTTACTCTGCCATTCCATCGTCGCGAAATTCACCTTCTCCACAAAGAGAAAAAGGCAAGCGGCTTGAAAATAAATGCAGACTTTTGTTTGAAGAAATGACAACAGATAATAGGGATTTTTAAAAGTACAATAATTTTTGTTTGCATCCTTTCCCAGCTCTGCACAATAAAGACAGACGTGTATTTGCATTCAATAAGAGTTGTGCTTTATGTTAGAATCGGTCGTTTTTGGAAAACATCCTTATCTTCCTTCGATCGTGTAATATATTCACTATTGAAAGAATATTGCCGAACTAAATGTCTGTTTTCATCTTTACATTTGCTAGTTGGCTATTTTCACCAAAATGTTGCAGTGCTCTGTGGTTATATTGATCTCTGCATATGTCAAATCACGTTATTGTGGTAAATGCGTATTTTGGCAATTTCAGGAATATGTCACAAAGTCATGATAGCTTTCTCTGTGTACACCAATGCAGCCAAGGTCCTAAGTGCCAAGCAGCCGTCTGGTGCGCTGAATTGTGTCAATGGTATCCGGTTTCTCAGCCTAACCTGGGTTATTTGGGGCCATACGTACTATTTTATGATGAGATATATAAGTAAGTATTATAATATGGAAGAAGACATCATCAAGGGCGCAGAAGATGTAGAGATCCACTTATCAAGAACAGAACACGGTTGACTTTTTTTATTTTATTATTATTATTTATTTGTTGTTAAGTATGGTTTTATGGACGAACAGCAATGTAGTTCCTGTTTTGCTAAAAATGTTTGGAATGTCGACAATAATCTATACATTATACTAACTACAAAAATTTATTGTATTTCTGTAAAACTAATTACAAGTTTGTTACGTTTTTATCGTTTGTTTTTGAACATATATGAAAATAAATATGCGTACATTTACTTTTTATGAATGTGACAGAAAAAATGCATGCTTTGAAGAGCGAAATAATATTGAGAGGCAAATTGCACATGCCCAGGATTACGTGTACCTGAAGTCATTATATAATTTCTACAAATTTAGGTTTAGAAGGTTTAGAAGATGATATATTTATATATATACGGTATGTGAGGTATTGAATGCATCCATTTTAGAGAACGGTGCGTCCTATGGCCACGACATTATGACGCGTAAGTCAATGCAAGTACTGTTCCAAGCGCCTTACTCGGTTGATTCCTTTTTTGTCATGAGGTGAGATCACTTCCTTGGTATCGATTATGGATATCTGGCATCAAAGTGAATTGGTTGTTGTAATAGATTACAATAATATGAATTTAGTATAACGTACTTATGGCATTTTAGCTGAATAATGGGTTCACAAATTGGTTTCCTAATCACTACTTGATTGAATTGCTCATATTTAAATGTAAGCCTAAAATGAGTTCCGTTTTAGTGGACTGCTTGTCACCTATCTGACCATGCGCGAGATGAAAAGGGGAACACTATGCATGCTCAGGATTAACTGGGGAATGTATTATTTCCACAGATTTTGGAGGTTTGTATACTGAAAAGTGTCACCCATACTGCAATGGGTAAAATGATAAAAAATACGTGTCGTTAAACAACGCATTTAAAAATTAAAATTTCACTGGTTGTTCAACCAATGCAGGAACTGCATAAAATGACATAAATGCATAAACCGACATAGTACCGTAGAACAATGCACATTAAAACGATAGAGGTGGCGCTTCTTTTGTAGGGGAGTATAATAAGCGTCATATGTGGCAATAGACATTTCCTATTCCAAATTTGGAGGATAAATTGAAGCTTAAACTTTAGCAATGCATGTACAATGTATAAGTCACATGCAGCCATACGTACTACAGTACGTATATGACAAGTTTTTTAAGTGTTATAAATTTTTTTTTTTTTTTTTTTTTTTTTTTTGTAATTACAATATTTTAGAAATAGCTCACACTATTAAGTTACAAAAACTGCATTATTGATAACGTGTACTGTTTCATTCATAGGCTGACTCCGCCGTACATGTTAGTGCTATTGGTGTACGCCACAACGTACAGATACTGGTCTAATGGACCTATGTGGGCAGGGGAAAATCAAGAAAAATATTGTGGAGATTACTGGTGGACCAACTTACTGTACGTCAACAATGTTGTGGACACTAAAAAGTTGGTAAGTAGTTTGAAAAAATGTATATTTTTAACCATGAGATTTTTCTTATGTTGTTGTGTATTTGGTAATCGTTGACAATAGGGTATACCCATTTAAATGGATATATTGAATTTATTAATATCAATTAATACATGTATCTATATATCTTTGACATGAGTTTGATCAGGGCGTATATGATTATTAAAGAATATGACATTGTGTTTTCTTTCAGAATATTAAAACTCTGCCCACGACTTAAAATTGTGAAATATTTTTCAGAGAGCTTTCGGGCATTATCTCTATCTTTGATTACTCTGATACGTATGATGATGATGATCATGAAATAAATTATACTTTGTTATCTTTATTTCCAGTGTTTTGGATGGTCGTGGTATCTGGCCAATGACATGCAATTCTTCGTGATTACACCTTTTATCTTGCTGCCTCTGTTTTGGTAAGTACAAATACTTCTTGGTGCATTCCATTTTTTTCAAACTGCGCTAACTATATTACAAAAGTATACGCAATACACTAAAGTGGGCCTATATGCCAATGCACTTCTATGAGCGTTGGACCTATGAGGTCTATAAATTCATCCTTATACAGAAAGGTGCATTTCTTGTTTCTCTTTGAAGGTGTATTTATCACACAGCATATGTTTACATTTCTTCCAAGCAAGCAATCAAGTATTATTCCCCATTTGCTGCACTTACTGCAGAAGCAAGTAGTTACCTTATGTCAACCTCACACACCCTAATTGTTATTTCATACAGTGTGTATTTTCTAGTGGTTTTTCCTTAACCTTTTCATTCATAGAAATCCAAATTTATAAAATAAAATAAAATAATTCGAACAAAAATATTCGTTTCAGGAGTAGAATTGCCGGCGCAGTCATCATGTTTCTGTTATTGCTAGGCTGTTGGATATCTTCTGGATCTGTCTCGGCCTACCATAAGTATGGGCCCAATGGCGTGGGAGGAAATGAGTGAGTTTAAGTACTCTGCAACATGTTATGCCACTGTAATAGCTTAAGTGAGAGAAATAACCGGAATGACATGGTGTTATATTTATTAAAATGGGTTTGTCTATGTATACACTCTTGCAGAGATGACCCAAGCCAACATCCCCAAGGCACCATAGCTAAGAGAATATATACCTATAATGAAGTTGGAATGTTAACACCCTAAGTAATATTAAGTTATGATTGAAAATCAATAAAGCAGACGCCCTCCATGAAAAAAATCCCAGATGATACCCGTCATATCTTATCAATGGCAAAAATTAAGTAAATCATGCTCATATCAAAGGTACATGGAGTGTGACAGTGAAATTCTGGGAAACAATTCTCATTTCTGTCTCCAGGGCAGATAACTTCGACATCATGTACATCAAGCCGTGGATTAGAATAGGACCATACCTTGTAGGAATGGCTACTGGATACGTACTACACGTCACACAGTGCAAACCCAAGGCAAACTGGGTAACTGTAGTTGATTACATAGTTCATTTGAAGTTCTGTTTAGTTTGTAATACAATAAAAAATCATGATCAATAGTATCCATATGGAAATAATGTTTGTATGCTTGCTGTATACTTGATTGGTGATTTCGCTCCTGAATTCGGCAACTAGGAAACCGAACGCTTGCCTTGGCCCTGATGAAGCCGTTGATCGCATTTTAATGTGTGTTGGGAGGGCGGGGAGGGGGGGGGGGCTGATATAAACAGCGAAATCAACATTCACGTGATCAAAACCCGAATGTGGTAAATCGAAACGTTCATGTAGTAGTAGTGTGTGGCTCTCATTGTTTAGTCTGTACGTCAATAATATTTCGGTTTTATCGCCTTATCTGGCAACTTATTGGGGGAAAGCTTTTTAGTGTAATAATAACTAGTTTTCTTACGGGCTCGTAAATAACGGCTTCTGAACTGCATGCCAATAGTTTATTGGAACCGTTATTATTTTCAAATCTATTTCGACACCAACTACATTTGCTTCAGCATTACTTTGCGTATAAACTATCACGGCGATATTGACCATAATTTACATTTACATGTAGAAGTTTAAGTATATTTTTGTCAAAGTACTTTAGTGCAGTAGATAAATCAAATTGACTTCAGGTCGTAGCAATGTTTGCCTGGGCTGTCGCCATAGCTTTAGGAGCGTGGTTGGTGTTTGGTCTTTATGAGCCTCTCAATGGTCATCCGTGGAACTACCAGGTGGCAGCACTATACAATGCGACGTCCAGGACACTGTGGGGCGCATGCGTAGCTTGGGTGATCTATGCCTGCTGCACCGGTTATGGTGGTAACTTGAAACTCATTTCAGAGTACCACTGGCTAAAATAATTCCCTTACAGCAACCTTAGTTTTTTCACTTACAATAAAACGTAAAAGGTTTTTAGATTAGTTTTCTCAAGACTTTCAACACCCGTTTCAAATATAAAAACGTAATACTTGTAATCCAAAGCGTTTCTTTTGAACACATTGCTATCAATAGTTTTTGCTTCATTTTCTTCATATCAGTTAAATAACGAAGCAGTTAAAAAAACATTCATGTTTACAGGTATTGTCAATGAAATTTTGTCCTGGGATGCCTTCGTGCCCCTGAGCCGACTGACCTACTGTGCCTATCTGATCCACCCCATTATCATGTTCGCCGTCTATCAGATGAAAGAGGAACCGATATATGCAACTGACATGACCATGGTAAACTTTCTAATTAAGAGTATCAAACTTATGATCAAAGTCATAATCTGCGTTTATAATTTTTGTTGTCATTCGTTCGTGAGTGACGCTGCAGAAATGATCTGGGAAAAACCCGTAGTGCACAACAGAGTTATGAATGATGACGTAATAATCATTAGGTTCGCTTTCTTAAAAATTAAATCATCTGAATGTGTATGACGTTACGTCAAGCTCAGCGTTTATGTCTATTCTGGGAGTTTTTTGTGATTCTTTAAAAACGTCTAGATTTTTTTTTTTCAGACTTATTATTTCTTCGGACATCTCGTGATGTCATACGGTTGCGCCTTCGTGGTCTCCATGGTGTTTGAGGCTCCTATGTTAGGATTGGAGAAAGCCATTCTGAAGCGCGGGCAATAAATTCGCAAAAAACGCCATCTCGATCAAATTAACCGAAAGGGGATTTGTCAGTCCCCAGTGGCATACAGTACAATGACATACACATCTGCTGTAAAATGTTTAATTTTTAAAAGTGTAATGTATTTAATTTTAATATATAATTTGTTGAGTTCATTTTGAGATATTTCCATTGAGTGAATGACGCTATACGTAATGAGATGGGGTAATTTGTTGTATGATCTCATTACATACCACCGTTTTTTCTCCACTCACTCTCATGTCTAAATGATTTAAAAATAGTAAATCGCCTAAATTGTTGAACTGCCAATGATTTCATTCTGAAATGGTTTGACCAAGTTTTACACGTTGTTGCCTTTTGGTGGTAAAGGCTGCAATCTAGCAAACAATTACGTCAGGCATCCCTATGGTTTTTTAAGTTCGTTTATAAGCAGAGGATGATCGAGATGATCGAACGCTTGCTAGTAATCAATCAGCAGATCTCTAACGACCTTGCCAGCTTCAATGCCATAAACCAGTGGTGCAGGAGTTGTTCCAGATTTTTTGACATCGTCGAAATGAAACTTTTCCAGTTGTGGTGGTCATTCACCTACAATGGATACCATATGTCGGCCCGGTAGAGCAATGTAAAATTTAGATCTACCTGTAAAATAAATTTAATAATTGCATCTGATCTTGGATTCATTTTAACAAGCACTGTATGCAACTTTACATATTCGAGAGTAATAACGCTTCGTTTCAAAAGATGATTATTTAATTAGGGCTGCGTGTCTCTACGGCGATATAAGCAGAATGCAAGTATCAATTGTTGTTGTTTTTTACGTGCCGTATAATAAAAGCCGAGTCTGGAAGAAGAGATGGTCTTTATATTGCAACCACAGCACCACAGGCTAGATAAATACACTTCTTTGCAAATTAGAATTAACCACAGCCTATATTTCAAAATAGAATGAATATGTATTTAATATTTCTGTTGATTCACAACCAAATTAATTTATTTTCAAGCTACAAACTTAAATCCCATCCAAGCACTGTTTCTTCTTTTTTTTTCTTTTCGGAATATGTAACTGTATAAATGTCTAACACACAAACGACAACATCAATATGGGATTCCATCTGAACTTTTTAGTACCATATACAATAGTAGAGTGAACCCTCTCTGCGTGGAGTAGCCATCTGATTTTATGGATATATGCCTTCAGTTTTTCGACTACAATTTGCCTGGTAATTTGCAAGGTAAATCCGATGCAATTAGCAAATTGATTGCCCTGACAGAATATAAAAATAATATAATAAATATAATAAAAATAATTATAATAATAATAATATTTATTTATTTACTTCGAGTCTATAGATAAAATCCACAAATAAAATGCAATGTCAAAACGATTATTTTAGATTTAAAAGTTATGGTATTAAAAGTAAAAAGAAATATGTCAAATTATAATGTTCTGTATAAAAAGTAAGGAGAAAATGTCCAACTATAATCTCCTGTTGAGTATAAAAGGTCAGATTTTTAAATACTGAAAGTTAAAGTAAATAGCAAATATACAAAAGCAATAATCAACTCGGGATAATGATTAAAAAGTGTCAGTAGTCTTAAATGAGATGTCGCAAATGCCTTTCGCCAACAAAACAGCGGCTTACTCTGGGACCACAAAACGCTTTTTTGAATTCCATTGCCGCTGATGCCGTCGTCAGACGATCTACCCAAAGCCTTGTTTCTGGCAAAAGAAACTTCGTCGCAACGCTCTTTCATGTTACGCTTAAAGCTGGATACCAAGTCTTTTCTTAAGAATCTGGAAGCAGTCATTGGACTTTTAGCTATGTAGCCCGGTACCTTTCGCGCATGCCCCAAAATAAAGGAATAAAACACCGTAATCAAGTCAGCCTTTGCTTGGGACAATTGCTCTGTCGGAAAGAGATTTTCTTTTGTGCTCTCTTCAAACTTGGCTAATAAGACCCTGGAGGTTTCTGGAATGCTCTTCCTCGTCCTCTTTCCAAAACGACTCATTTTGCTCGCACCTTCCATGTCGCAAAACACATTCAGTGTCTGGAAAATGAGATTTTCCGCAGCAGACGACCCAATGTCCGTGTCTAATCCCCATGCAATCATTCCCTGGATGTGCGGTGCAAAGACCTCCCTTGAAATGAAACTGTCGTCCATTATTTTATTGGCCTGCCTAAGGAGTGCCGAGAGGTGTCGCTTTGCAAGATACACCTTTTCGATCATCTGCTGCTCGACGCCATTCCTGTCGTCTGAGGTTGTGAACGTTTGAAGCAAATCCAAGTACTCGGCGAGAGAATTGAGGGTGTGAGGTGCTTCACATTCGGCTTTTGCCATCAGTAACATGAAGTTACTTTCTTGGTTCGCTATTTCCGGGTCGTAATTCCATTTGAACTTCATACTTACAGGTGATCCGCTTTCATCATAAATAGCGTTGCAAGCCATGAGAGAAAAGTGGTTGCCACGATACGGAAGGCCAAAATAATCATTCACCTGTTGATAAAAAAAAAAAGAAAAAAGGGATAAGATTTTCATGAAAATTATCATGAAAAATTTAAGTATTGTCATAAGTAAGTAATTAAAAACAATAACACATTTGAATCCCAAGAGGAAAATGTGCTTATAAATAAATAAATAAATAAGTATGCGCTATAAATTGTGTCGTTTCTGTTGGTAAGGAGGAAAACGGATTGAGGACTTAATAAGAATTACATTCAAAGGTTTTAATTATAATAATGATACGCAGAACATGCACGTTTCATCATGTCTTCATTAGCGGGCTGTTTCACCTTTTTAAAAGGGTTCCAGAGGCAGTCGGGGAACTCGAGAGTGCTTCTTTCCCGTTCCAGGCTCGTGGTCGGTACTGTACCCCAGCGATAGGCGTGTGCCAGGTAGCTCAGACAGGCCAGGTAACCCGCCAGCACCGAGATACACTCCTTGTCGATCAGGGATGTGATGGCCATTTCAACTTTTAATAAATCAACCTGAATGTAGAAATAAATTGGATATACTTTTATGAGAGACTATAGAAAGAAAGATATTAGGAAATACAATGGATAAAGAAGATTAGAAAATGGATAGTATACTGTCGTGTGTGTGTTTGTGTACTAAGTATTTCTTCCAAAAATTGGCAAACCGAATTACATAATTAACTTCGTGTATCAAACAACAAGAACACTCATCTACTAATAATTAGTCCGTTCCAAATGTACGCTAAGTTTCACATTTAAACAAATCAAACTCACTCTGCTAAGTTCCTCTTCCATCCATTCCCTGAACTTCTCTGAGCTGTTGAGTGTGTATAACTTCTCGGGCATTTTGAGGCAGACATCTTGATAGATTTGGCAACATGTTGGCCACTCGTTGAAAACTGGTCGTGGAGGGTAACCTCCTCCAAATTTAGCGTAAAATGTAGGCAAGTACGCAGAGTAAGCACGTTTTTGCTGTTTCGCCATTTTTTTGCTGAAATATAAACCCACTTACTGATATTACTTTATGTTGGCAGGTTTTTGTTCAAAAGGAGTGTCTTACGCCGTATACCAACATATGCATGCAGTTCTGTTCATACGTGAAAATATTATCGACCCTTTCAGTTGTAAGAACTCCGCCTCGGTAAATTCTGTTGATGACAGTAAATTAAAATAATTTGGCCGGAAAACTCAAATATATATCAGTATGACCGATAAAACTTCATAAAATGCATGCGTAATGTAACATAGCCTACATGTCGTGTATGTTTGAGCGAAACCATAACCTTGTCTGTTGTACAATATAATATCCTAACCTGTGTCTATTCAAATATCAATTTCTTAAACAATATGACGATTTAGAATCATGCCAGCTAGTCATGGAAAACTGCTCGAATGACCTCCCTCCTCCCCTCCCCAAAATATATCGACAAAAGTCGGCAGATGCGCCGGAAAAGCAAATCTATTCTGTGTCACCATTGTTTTTCACTTAAAAATATAAAGATACTGAGATTATGTTGGCAACTGTCCATGCAGAAAGAGGACATTTATGAGCATGTGGTGCTGCCCAGACGAAATAATATCAGAGCAACCTCAGAAAATGCCCTTTTAGAATTCACATAAAATTAAAACTGCCAATGAAATATTAGTCTAAAAACATAAAGACGAGGAACGATATACGTAAAAAAGTTTCATTGAATCTTAGTTTTGATATTTAAAACGTTTTATGATAGAGCCACATATTTGGTTTACCTGTTGGCTGTTCCCTCCCTTCATGCACTCTGACAGACTTGGTCACGACTGAATTACTTGTTTAGGTGAAGGTGAACAACTATGGGGCCACTCCCAGACCCTATCGTACTAACTGTGGATCGATCTATCTCCAAGGGGATTCTCGCAAAATTGCTTTCAGCTTTAAGCGGCTTATATGTCTGACATGCCTACTGAAGCTGTTAAACGATATTTAAGTACCCCGGGCAGCTTCAGCTTCAGTTAGAAATCCCTCGTAGATGGATCGATCCTGTTAGGTCGATCTAGGTATGGGAACCCAGTCTAATGGTCTCAGTCTTTATGATGACTTGTTAGTCCCTCTTCCGCTCCCAGTAGTCCATAAGGCCTGACTGGAAAATACCTTTAAAATGGACATGCTGTTCCGTTTTTGCTAGTGTAAAATATTGGAAGTGTTAGGAACTCCAAATGTCACAAAGTAAGTACTTCTGGGTCCGTTAACTTTGTTTTCCATTCCCAATAAGCCATGATTTGATCATTTAGACTGGAACCCTTTTTTCTATCAATGTGGTGAGTTGGCCAGCCAACAGGAGTAGTCAAATTGACGACTACTCTCTCGTGACCTTGACCGTTAGTATTGTAGAGGAGCTAGAAGAGCGCGAGTGAGTACTGGTACAAAACCAATCCAAGTCCCTGAAAAACGCCAAGGTCAAACTAGCCTCATTACCGACATGGTATGACTTTTTCCGAAAGGAGAAAGAGTTATGTTTTTTTTTTACTGACGGCTTACTAATACTTGGCACATTTAGTGTGGTTAACGGCCTTCAAAATTTATTAATTTATACTCTTAATTTAGCAAATTCTACAAACCAAAATTACACTCGCCAAAATGGAAATGGTTTAAACGGTATTAAGGGACACCTTATAGACTAACAGGTAAACCAAATATGAGGATCTATCATAAATGAAACTTTCTGTCTATGAGAAAAGAAACGCATGCAAATTGCATTAAGCACTATTCTCAGCGAAATTAAATCCTTGTCCGAAACAACAACCAATACACGTCTTCAAATATCAAATGTTAATTAAAATAATTTACCCCAAAATACTGTTGCTTACTTTTGTTTCGAGTCCTTCGCTAGCGCTGTTCAGGCGTTGAATACAAGATACTGATAAGGCCTTTTATTTTTTATACGATATCCCCCGGATAACGATGGCGTGACCAAAACCGACTGACCGATGCAACAAATGCGTAAATTACAAAACCGCCTCTGTGACTATGATAATAAAAATAATAATGACAAATAGGTCTCACTACCCATAACGTGCCCTTATGCAGTGAATGACCAGTCCAGATCCAAAGAAGAGAAAAATGGTGTCTTATCACGAAATCGATCGAAAAGAACGCTAAGTTCTCTTTCGCTAAAAAAGTATTGGATATCTCGACAAATAAAGATATATTTATTTTTCGTTTTTAAAAATAAATAAAGTTAAGCTTCAACATGAAGAGGAATGGACTATAATGTGATTCGAATAAATAGGAATTTTCTGGCAATGTACCGAGATTGGAGGAGTTTGACCGAAATGTAAGAGTACATTTGACCTTCCGGCTCAGATTTGTCACAAAACTCTTTCTGTGAAATCGACCACGCCGTGGATTAAACGTTTCCACTCCTGCTCCTTACTTAAAATTGAAAAATACACACATATATGTTCACTTTCATTACCATTTGTATGCTTGTCTGTACCCCCTCTAAATCCGCCACAGGAAAGGGGGGGGGGCGGTTTCCTAAATTGTTAGAGCAATGCATGTATATTCCAATTGATTCCGGTCAGGTTATCGTATTTTTCATCGCGATGGGATTGTCCAAAAAACTATCTAATTTAATCTATATCTGGCACGCACAGGCCGAATTGGCCGGGCACGAACCAGGCCACTAGATGACCAAAGATCTGGATTGGTTCATCTAAGATCAAGGGCATTTATAAGTGGCAGAGTGTATCCCCGCCATCGCCACCAAGTATTTCAGTACTGAAAGATTCTATAACAGACGTTTTGCATACCATTTCAAACACTACACTCTGATATTACAGGGGTTTTTAAGACTGGGTTCTAAGACTGGGTTCCCATACCTACATCGATCTAACAGGATCGATTCATCTCCAAGGGTTTTCTCGCGAAATTGCTTTCAGCTTAAGCGGCTCTGATGCCTGGCACGCTTACTGAAGCTGCTAAACGGTATTTAATTGCCCCCTAACAGCTTTAGTAGGCGTGTCAGGCAAAGAGTGTTTTAAGCGTACATGTATTATCCCTGATACCCATCTTGAAAGACGTAACGAAAGGCAACTGCCTCTATTTTTTGAAAGTGTATCGCTACTGAATTAAGCGGAGAGCGCGAGATAATTTCATTTTACTTTTACAATGTCCTTTTAACAGCCACGGTAAATATCGGATTACATAGATGAATAATCAATGACTTCATGAATAATGAAGAAAGATATGGTATCCAACAGCTGATGAAAAAGGAGCAACGGTTGTTTACATGTCCGAAATAAAGCTCAGGGGCAAATCATCTGACGGCAAACTAGAATGAAATGAGGAAATACAAGTAATGGATTTTTTGTTGGGGAAAGGCGATCTTGAGGTCAGTTTGTGTTTATTTTCAATTTACTCTTAATCACTTTGCAAAGAATGGTTTTTCAAGCGACTACATCACGCAACAATGGACGAAAGGATCTGTGTACTGCCGGAATTTCTCTAAAATAAATACCATTATTCTACATGAATAATGTCCGAAGGTATCTCCATAAATTTGGCAAAATTTCAACCATTACTGTTTTTAACTGTGTTTAGACCCAAGTATATATACGAGTACATTGCATTATGGGTCTAATAAAATTTTGAAAACACAAGTGACTGCTTCCTTAAAAAGGCCAACAAGGAACTAAAAACATTTGTTTATTGCAAACTGATTTACCATTCATAAATTTTCTTTCATAGCTAAAATTAAACAATGTGAATTTATTTTGTATAAAAATTTATCTCAAAGTTTTCGATTTACCAGTTGCAATAAAAATATTTCGTGATCACCATTGCGATTCGTGAAATACATGTGAATGGACATACATGTAAGGCCAACAAAAAGGAACCTCAACTAGTGTTTGTTTATCAATTAAATAGCTTGCAAATTTTCACAATATGTAGACCTAAGTTGTCTGAAATCTTGTTTAAATTTAAGGAAATACCAATCAAGCACGAGTGGGATGGGATAGGGAAACCAAGCAATTCTCACATATCCTTAATCCTTCTCACATAGCTCTGTGTACGAAGTTTAAAAAAAGCGACAACATACTGGTGTGACAAAAGTTTTCGCACTTGCAGCGTAATGTTGTTCTTAGTACGGGATATAAATGTTAAAGGTTATATATTAAAATCTAGGACAGGATCAAACAGTAGTGCACACCCTTTGTCAAAAATGTTGTCCTGCTTTTAATCCCATGTGGTTTTGTTTACAAATGACGACAGCTGTCAGTCGTTTTAAAAAGATTTTTTTATTCCAGATACAATACCTATCATGACTTAGGGTACAGAAAATCCAAAATTCCAGTGAAGATATCTAAAGTTTGAACTGTTAAAACATCAAAATGTACTCTTTGAAAGTCACGTGTCTTTTACCACGTGTCTACCGGGTTCTACGTTTATCTTCAGTAGGCGGTGCGGCATGCCTCTAACAATAACGTTTTTAGGTCTGTTTTGTGAGATATTTTTCCATTCTTCCTTCTTCAAGGTACGTGCAATTAAAGAACAATTATCCCCAGGCTTTGCATATCGAAGACGGAATTTCGCCAGTGTTACATGTGACATGCAGTAATTATCAATGTTCCTTTCCCTTTACTTTAATAACACATTTTTCATTGAGATTGAATTCTGTGAATAAACGTCCATTTAATTTTCACCAATGGTCTTTGCGATCCAATCAAGGTAAGCACTAACGCGTGTAAAAACGCCAGGCACTTGTCCCGGAGATCGAGCGCTGGAGAATGACGCAATGCCGACTTGAATCCACTTGTCTTGCCTTTTGCACACAAGTGGTCCACCGCTGTCCCCCTAAATATAAAAAATATATATATTTCCAAATTCAACAATTTCATTTACATGAACATTACTAATATAAAGATTGTCATAGCTGACAGCTAACACCTATGTTTCAGAGACATGGACAATGAATGCATCCATGGAACAAAAGCTACAAGTAGCACACAGAAAGATGGAAAGAAGTAGGTTAAACATTAGGATAAGAGATAGGATGGCCATTAAATGGAAAAGAGGACAGACCAAAGTGAAGGATATGCTACTTACAATTAAAGAGATGAAATTGAGATGGGCAGGATATTTTAGTAGAATCAAAGATGACAGATGGACAGTAAGGCCGACAGAATGGACACCAATGAACATAGAAAACAAGGGAAGCCTCGTAAGAGATGGAGGGATGAGTCAGAACAGTGCTGGAAAACACGAAACTGGAAGTGTGAAGCCGAAGACAGAATGCACTGGAAGAAGCATCCCGAGGCCTTTGTCCAACAGTGGAACACTTTTGACTTTAAATGATGATGATGATGATGATGATGATGATGACGATGATGATAAAAGATTGTCAAATCAAACGTGAATGGAGTACCACCTGTGTTTCTGTTGGTAACCTTGATCATACTCACAGGGCACAAGCCTTTGGCCGCCAAGTTGTAGCCGGCACAGAGGCGGGTGTCGCGGTGAACGTTCCAAAACCGTCTACACTCCCTGTCCGACAGTTTGGGTAGAGGCAGCTCCATGGCATGATCGGACACCGTGGCACCTGTAATGTACACAGGAATTCGTGTTTTATACTTGCTTGTGCCCCAGAATCCAAATATTATTAAAAACGATTACGAAATTTTGAGATATTGCAAAGACGTGTACATTGTGATTTCTGGTGCACCCAATTTACATGTATCAGATGTTTGTAATATAACGAAAGAACAACCATGCCTTGTCTTATAATACATTCATTTATTTCATTGAATCCACACACACTGTGGTAACCGAAATTTTGGTAAGGCGAGTGGGAGCCTTAAGGAAAGAAAAATGAAAAAAGTTGACACCTTGTAGAAGATAATTTCTCACTTTCTCACGTTATCTTACCGCTGCTGGTGCAGCCCCAACCCTTCATCACGCATTGTTGCCCGTCTTCAGGGAAAGAGACGTCCCCTTGTCGCGCTGGGAGTTCCACAGATGTGACGAATGTGGTGGTTGGACCGACAGGGACGCTGCGTTCCAGTTTCACCAGAGCTATGTCATTCTCCCACAATGCTAGAGAAAGAAGTGCAGGGAGAAAACGATGAGATGTACATGTAGTACCATATAGATGTGGTAAAGCATTACTTGGGCTAATCTTGAACCCATCATGGGTACAAGGGCTTGCATATCTACTGCGTTTGAAACAGTCCAGACAGGAACAGATTGCTAAACCAAATTAGAGTGCGTTAATTAGGTTAAAACGGACTGGATGCATATTTAGGGGGCCTTGTATGATTGTCTTCACACAACTCACATCTTTCGTCATAACCTGGATGAATGATAATTTTCTCCGCATCGACATTCCATTGCTGCCACTCCTGCCTGCTGAAGACACGGCCCAACACGTGCATGAAATAGTCCGAGGCCGACGGCTACAATAAACAATAGCACAAATACTTGGTTCCCATTCCGTTATACCCAGGAGTTCTTATATTTATCTTTTTTATTCAGAATAGCGATAATGCACATGTACCTTTGTCCTCTCAGGCATTAGAAAACTCCGCTTACATTCACACGTGAGCGAGTGAGGCTACATGTAACACACTCACAAATGTACACAGTAAGTAAAAGAAATTAACATTCTTTTTGGAGAGCATGCATTAAAATAATTATAGATAAATACATAAAAAGATAAATGAATAGATAAATAAAAAAGAGTTCTGTACGGATACATTCACAAAAGTCCATTCTCGCAATGGTAAATAATACACTGACATTTACTCGATCTACTCTTGCGTGTATAGTATACTGATTGAGAAGTGTACAGTCATTTTTGAATATTCAGAGAAACAGGGTTTATAAACTTACTTTGATCTTTACGGCTGCAATTCTTGCTTCCCAGGCATCGGGTTCGGTTGCTCCGTTCCTGGTTAAAAGATTATAGAACCATTGGGGATTCATAGACGATATGGGTATAAAATTTTCAAACCAATTATTAAAGCAATGTTGCAACAATACTGTTTCACACACAGAGAGAGAGAGAGAGATTGGCCAGTACAGTACACGTACAGAACTCGTAGCCCACCTGAGATAAAAGCAGTGAGCTGCTGTCAGTATCCATCTGTCGTTCAACAGGGATCCTCCACAATAAAGCTCATATATAGTTAGTGGGATCCCGAAGAAAGTCTTCCCAGGGACATGCCCCTGCAGGGACACCATCCAAGGCCACTTGCCGCGGTCGGATATGGTGCGACCCCCAATCAACCGTTTAAATCTTGGCGCCTCGGCTCCATCACTTCGTACTGTAAACACGGAAAGACTTGTCATGATAGTGAAAATCGGGCATTTCAAGCTGCATTCCTTACGTTTAGAACAATTGTCTTGTTCTATGTTTTGAAAACGTTAATGTGTATATCTTTGTATCATTATAAACACTAAACGTTATGAAAATGTTTTCGATAAAATGGTTCATAGAAACATAGGCCTATACATAACGTGTACATAACGTTATGGCTTAACATGACCAAGGTACTGCTTTGATATACTCCATTAGTTAAAATTAATAATATTTTCATGTTAAGAATACTACATAAAATAATATTAACTATGCACAAACAGTTTATTATTAGACCCCATTCCCACAGATTTTAGATTGATCTATCCCTGTGGGGAGTCTCACTAGATTACTGTCAGCTTAGCCGGCTTAAGCGTTTGTCCCGCCTACCAAAAGCTGTAAGGGGGTAATTAACTGTCGTGCGCGCTCGACTGACTGCAATTTAGCGTGAACCCCGAGGGAGTTACTGTACATGTAGGTCGATCCGGATGGATCGATCTAAATCTCTGGGAATGCACTTTTAGTCATAAGCTGGGAATATGGCTCTTAAGGATGGATGCATATCGTTTGAAAACTGTGCAACTTGTAAAGAGGCAAAATGTTTTACCATAACTCCACTACATTCCTAGCTGCAGTCATTCCGCCACGTTTTCTTATTGTGTCTCATTGTAAAGACCCAATGCGTATATGAATGAGATGTATCTCCAACGTCAGGGTCTGCAGCTTCGATTCTGTATTAATATAATTAGGCGAATAGTTTTTTAATATCACCATCATTAAAACTGGTCTCGAAAACTTTAAATACTTCTTTTTATAACTTTTGTGACATCTAGTATCTCATGGAGAACAATACACGAACTTTCTGTTTTAGGCCTTTTCTGTGTACGAGTATCAGGACAAGAAAATAACTGTGCTCTGTAAAGAAACAGGCGAACGAAAAGTTAAACAATTTAAGCAACGTGTTCTTGGTTTATCTGGATAACAGAAAGATGTTTTGATTTAAGTTACTATCCCACTCTTGAACTCATTTAGTATTAAGGTCCGGGTACTAATTCACCATGGCCACAAGAACAAAACACTCTTGGTTTATATCAGGACACACGTTCTCCTTCCCTTTATTTACAGTAGATGGTGTTATTTTTATGTCGAACAGTCGACACAAATACATTTGCCTGACATTGTTAACTTGTTATAATACACATATAAAATGGTGTTAATTTACTTATTACTTTCAAATTGACCAAGCCTAGTTTAAGGTGGAGATGTGGTGTAAATGGCATGTAACCCCAAGCAAAAGAAAAAAGAATGGATAAGTGTGGTGGTTTTACGCAAAATTCTCAGTATCGCTTTTAACAACCAATTGCAAAGGGGTTATATTGTATATAAGTACTACCTTATTGCATATAAATAATTTATTCGTTATTGTGCTAGTAATACAAGTATTTAAAAATGCTTAAAAACAGAATTATTGTCCTAAGCAGGTTATAGCCACTCCTGCGCATGACAGAATAAAAAGAATTCTCCGCCATAAAAAGGTATGTTTCTATCAAATCAATGTACACTGCTTCAAATGTAACGATCATTAAATAACATAGGCCTACAGCGAATTTCCAGTTTCTTTTATTAAAAGTTGCAGAACGACACAGACAAATTTAAACTACCAAGCCTACAGGCAAAAATGAAAGGAAATTGGCTTAGTGTGTAAAGTTGTTAACTTCATCACAACACTCACCACCATCAGCTGAGTACGACTGCAGCAGTATGACCAGTATCACCCATCCTACCAACAGCTCCATTGCTTTAGACGTGTTGAATGCTCAGGACTGTTAGTAGCCAGCTGTACTGAACGGCGGCTTGGCTGGCAGCAGATCATTGGAGTAATGTGCACCATCCTGCCTGTAGCATGGAACTCGTTTCCCGTTATAATGTGGAATGCGTGAGAAGCCACGGGGTGTGCACATTATTGGACTAAATTTCCTGTACGTGTTAATAAAACAGGGGCACAGAATATGCTTGTGTAATGTCACATTTTGATCATCCGTTTCCTCTACTGAATATATATATATATATCTCATCTGTTTTCCAGACAAACCTCCCGTAAGGTGTGTGTAGTGTTTGCGTGTGTGTGTGTGTGTGTGTGTGTGTGTGTGTGTGTGTGAGCACGCACGTGTTCGTGTGTACGTGCTTGAGTGATGGTTGGTTCAGGAGCTCGAGGATACAGAATGAAAATGAATAATAGCACGACGACCCACAATAATTGTTCACAATAATTCATATTTATTTGGTGAATCATATAACTAAAGAGGGAACAATATACTGTGTAAATATAGTGAATGGTGCGTTAATTTAAGGGTTTACATGTTGCCTACTTTACACAGCTCAGTTTGATAGTACTCATCCACTTTGGTTCTCTTCTGGAAAATCAACCATGGTCCATTTTACTTTTTAAAATTAATTCTAGTCTACAACCATACATATATCCTGTATAAGAGTTGTCTACTCTTATGCATACATACATCGAATAACTATCGTTTATTTGAGATCTCCCTTAAAATATTAGTTTTTTCCTTAAAGCCTTCCTGGGATTAAAACAGCGTGATTAAGCATGCATCTATATTTAATTATATCTATATTTAATTTTTCCAAAACTGCAGTTTCTCGCACAGTTTCTCCAGGTCAAGATCCCCACGTCGCCAGATGTGAAAACCGACAGCCACCGCCGCCACGATTGTGCTGACACCTATTATCAATGGCAATTTTGCACGCAACATTGGAATAAGCATCATTGTGATTGGATTAAAGGCCTTTTCACACACTGATCGGTAGGTGTCACGTTTCTTTAGACGAAGGTAGTATGCTTTAGTGTTCGGTCGTCTGCCGTTTTCCCAGTAGCGATGTCTCAAACCCAGAAAGTTGAGACGCCCGAATAGAACTGCAAGGTGAATGTCTGCCACTGTCATGGCTGGGCCGCATAACCAGTCGCCACCGGCTAGTTACATATAGAAAAATGAAAATATCCAATTTTTTAGGTCTTTAATCTGTTATAACTACAAGGAATATGCGAAACTGAATCAAATTTGTAGTACGCAGAGATATTGACCAACATAAAACTAGGTGAATTTCTAGTATGCCGAAACATATCTGGGAGGACTAGTCTCTTGAAATTTTCTATAACTTTACAATTGATATATAATAATAATAACTTAACTGTAATAACATGTTTATCTTCAGTATCTTAAAATATTCAATCTTGGTTGTCTTTAATGTGACTTTTCGAACCAACTTTTAAAAACACTTCCATTTTCATTTTCTTTGTAACTTGTCACTTCACACTTGCTGTTTTTAAAACCTACCGATATCTCGCAGGCGTAGTTCATCTTCAATTTCATCAAAAACTTTTTCCGCCTTTTCCAAAGCTTCTTTCACTGTGGCCTCATCATTGAACCGCTTCACAAAGTTGCTCAAGAACGCTGCTTTTTTACTGTATGCCTCCCGTAGGTCGGGGTTAGCTGCCTTTAATTTTTCAAACCCCGCTCCGTATTTCCCCATTTTTGATGCTAAAATATAGAGAGATCGAGGCTGTCATTATAATGACGCTCAGTTATCCCTACATTAACATGACGTCATCTTAACGCTATAACAATGTGTCGTCATGTTACTCCAGGAATAATTGATCGTCATTTTATTGACATTCTCTGTATCGGTTAACATCACACATAAAAATATGCAGAGCTTTAAATATTTGTTTTGTATTCACTCGATTGTACAGCCCAAAGCAATGGCTGACGATTCAGGAAAAAAAAAACAATCTGGATTCAGCGGCTGTATTATAACCATTTAAATAAAAAGTGAAAATTACCTCCCATCAAACCCTAATGTCACATACATACCATTTAAACTAACAATACAAGGATCACATTGAAAAGAAAATTAATTGCAAGTATATATATATATATATATATATATATATATATATATATATATATATATATATATATATATATATAGGCCACGTCACGCTAAAAGTACAAGCACAATGTACGTAAACTTTTTTACTACATGAGGTCAACAAAATAGTTTCATCAAAACACACGGGCAAAGAAGCACTGAAAGTCAAAGAAAGGAGCTGGACTGCTATAAGCCTTGCAAGGTTTGTAGCTGAGCTCATAAATAGTAAAAAAGTCCGCAGGGGGTAAGACCATTACCTCTCCAGCGTCCAAGCCGGGCAATGATACCCGTGATGTGACCTTCCTGTGTGTAGTGGGGAAATATCATCATCCCAAAGGTTATTACTTCTATCTCAACGCTACTGATTAGCTCTGAGAGACGTTGAACTTTTTCTCTTTCATCGCTTCCAGTTGGCGGTAACAACTTCGGAGACGAATCTTAAATAAAATAAAATCAAAAAAGTGATTAATCTTGTTGAAGTCTAAATAAGACATTTATTGCATTCATTCAAGAATTCACTGCAATCAATACAATACAAAACCTACGATTGTGGTTTGAACTTATATTAAAATGTTTTAGAAGAAAGGTTGAGGTTTTTCATTTGTCTATTTGATGGCATTCATTCGCTCCAAAACTACAGGTACAAGAATAGTGGATGAAAAAATATTATGTCAAACAGTTCGCTGGTGTGTACTTTAAAAAGCAACGCTGTACTTAATAAGGAGAAGAAATGAAATCTGTCATATTACACACAGTACATTTTGGCAGATTGCTCGTGTACTTATTAAGATATAAGCTACTTAGAGACAACAATGTACTAGTAAATCAAACAAGAACTAGGGTGTAAGCAACACATAAGAGATACCCAGATTACATATCCGCCACCAAAAAGAAAATGCGTACATCAAGTCAATGAATTTACCCTCATGTCCACTAAAACATTTCTCAATTTTTATAAAATAATAAAACAGAATGCAAAACTAAGCAGTAATATCAAGAGCACGTGATTACGAATCTAAGGAAGTGCAAATATGATTAGATAACTAACCGTAGGCCTTCTCCAGATAGTCCATTATGGCTTTAGAATCTGGAATGTATTTCCCTTGGTGCTTTAGAACGGGCACCTGGCCCTCAGGGTTGATTCTAAGGAACCATGGTTTGTATGTTTCTCCACCGGCTAAATTGATGATATTTTCGTTGAACGAAATATTCCGCTCCTTCAGATATAGTGCAACCTGCAAGGAAAACATTGATGAGCTACTTGAAAAAAAAAAAAAACAGAAAAAAAGAAGAGAAAAAACAGTGTCCTTAAATGATATTTTCAAAAATTATGCATAACTGGTGGCAAAAAATTACTAAGTTCAAAGTTCAATAACTCCCACAGTTGCAATGGTATTAGGGGTATGTTAGGAAAAGAAAAAATCTTAAGGCAAACACTGCCAGGTTGGCCTATGAGATTTATGACTGGCAGACTTGACACTTTGACTAAAGATTTTGACTTTTTTTCGGTTTGCCAATATTTCTCTAGTCATACACTAGGTACGATAATGTGCATATTTCTATAGCGTGAATGTGTAGTAGAGGACAGAGTGCACCTGCATGTCGTGCACGGGCTATTTAACTTAATACAAATATTTTTGTTACATCTTGACTCTATGATATCAAAGTGACAGAAAAGAAGAAGACAGAGAAGAAGAAGAAGAGGTAGAACAGGAAGAAGGCGAAAAAAAGAGACAGAGAGAAGAAAAAGAAGCAAAAGAAGAAGAGAGAAGGCTGGATGAAAGGAGAGAGAGAGAGAGAGGTCAGGGTGGGGGAGGAGGTCGAGTATCCTATAATGATATAATTGGTACCGTCAGTTGACCTAGTAACCCATCTTTCATATGAAGAACGGATTTACCATAGCAAATACATATATATAATAGTAAAAGGAATACAAAATAGTATTTTTCCTCGGACATGGGTTCCATGACACTATTCGAGAAGAAATCTAATCTGATTGTCACAGAATCTTCACTTATCATTTAATAACATAGCAGTGTTTTTCACCGGTTGTGTTATGCACTCATGCAAAGTTAAAATAATTCATTAGTTACCTTTTGTGAGTAAAACGATCCTGGATTGTAGAGAACTGTTAATTCGTCGTCTGCCATTGTCTGCAGTATGCCACTTGCTAACGCAATCTATATTTACAAGCGATTAACTTTACTAGTCCAAAGTGCCCCTGGTCTGTGTCGATGCTGAGGAATACACTAAGTATAGGGCAAATACACGATTTGCGTGAACTCTACATATTGACCCCGTTTAGAATAATGACCTAGATAGAAAAGTTCAACATTAAATTTAGCTTGACTTCGATTTTAATTTAAATACAATGTGTTTTGATGGTAAATATTGAATAGAAATTCACCGAAATTATTTTTTCTGTGATGTGAAATATCTGTACGTCTTAAACACCAGTGAATCTTTGTAGAATTTTTCAGATTTTCGACTGTGGCAGATAAAAAAATATCTTCTTTAATAATCATCTGACAAAGGATACATAAAAAGACATCAATTCTTTACGTATTATGTAGGAGAGAGTCCCTGTGATACAGGGTCATATGATTCTTATGGATTTGTACAGGTAAGTCCCGTCCTGGATTTTGACCCACGTAATTACTCTGTACGTCAGGAGAACTCTGCCTGTATCAGTCACAATGTGTGTATATTAGCCTACACAGAAAGTCATTGGTGTTCTACTTTTCTATTCTGTAACTTATTGTAGGCCTAATGCTAATGTTGAGGTGACCATTACTCGATCATCAAACCTTGTTTGCTTATACCCTGTAAATGCATTTGCACGGATTTTGTCCACGACTTCTCCATATAATAGTTTTTCATATTCAGTGAATGATGTAGTGCCTATAACTTGTTCGGCAAGGCATTTTTGGTTCTTTTGTTGACGTCATAGACCTACATAAAACATTTCCAAAGCCATTTTTTATATTTGACAGCCCTGTAATAGCACACAAGTTCCCGTGAACATATTTAAATCGTAAAAAGAAAATTACAGTAGTACAAGGTTGAAAAGTGAAAAATACCTCAGCAAAGGCTATAATGTCGTTGGTCTGTCTACAAACGAAGAACGGCTGGTCATTCTGAGACTGGGTTGGTCTCTCTATACATGTAAGCCTACATTTACAGAGAATGCTATTATTCTGTAAATATCATTGATATTTGCACTAAGGCCACCCACTCACACCCACTCACGCAAAAAAAAAAAACTTAAAAACTTTATGACCACTGTCTTATTTCCAAAACTGCACTTTTTCCACAAATGTGTTCAAATCGAATTCTCCTTTCTTCCAGAAATAGATGGCCACGGCGCCCATGGCCAAGACAGCACTGATCCCAAGGATTGAAGGTAACTTTTTTTTCACCAGGGGGAGAAAAATTCCCAGGAATGGGTTAAACTCACAAACAGATTTGTAAACGTCGTTTTTCTTGAGGCGGTGAAAGTAAGCCTCGATATTTGGCCGTTTTCCATTTTTCCAAAACATGTATCCCACACCGGCGCTGTCCAGCCGACCGATCAGAATTGCCAGATTGACGTCTGCTACTGTCATATCAGGACCACACAGCCAACATTCACCTCAATAAGAAACAGTTGTTAATCCTTAACAATCTAAACAACGTCATATTCGATAGTTCGGACATAAATTAATTTCAAAAAAATTCCCTTCGAAACGTTAGCTTAATAACTAAACTGGACTATTCAACAACAAAGAAAAATTGTATCTGTACATATATTACACCATTCGTCACTTCTGAAGTATTATATCAATTTGAAAATTTATAAATTTGAAAATTAATCTTGCTTTACACACCTTCTTTTCTTTTGCCTAATGTTTCCTCTAGTTCATCCAGGACGTTTTGCGCTCCAACTATCGCTCTTTGAACCGTGGCCTCATCTCGAAATTGCGCATAGAATTCGCTCAGGTCCTTTTCCTTCTGGATGTACACATCTTCAAGGTCTGGCGATTTAGCTTTATATCTCTCTAAAAACGGAGTGTATTGCCCCATGCTTTTAGCTAAAATATAAAATGGAATCAAGAAATTAATCGATAGAGGGTGAGATGTGCATCACACACCATTTTCGACAGTTGTATTGCATTTGAGAAAACGGTAAAGAAATTTCGTTGAAAACAAAAACTGTAAAACTGGGTCCACAAAACTTTTAACAGGACTCGATAAACAATTATATTTAAGAAATGGATTAACGTCTTTGGGCGCGTGCGTGCGCGTCTGCGTAGATGTCATTGTTGATGTTGATGTAATTGCTGTTAAAACGCACGGTTAACGTCACTCAACAGGTACCTCTCCACTCCATTAACCTTTGGAATTTCCCGACCAACATGCCACCTTGCGACAGATGAGGAAAACTTATAATCCCATACGTGATCACTTCAATCTTGATTGAATTGATCAGATCTGCAAAACGGAGTGCTTCCTCTCGCTGCGGAGTCGAGGCTGCAGGTAACAACTTTGGAGGGGTATCTAAAAATGTCAATGAAACAGATACATGTACCCTGTATATATATTTCAGCGGTATCTATAGGGATTCAAAAATGTATTTTGATACACTTGTTCTGTGCGACGCATACTGTTGCCTCGTAGTTTAAAATTAAATATCTAACATTGAAGAATCCCAACGGATGTAAAATATTTCGTTATACTGACGTCATAGTGACGTCAAATCAGTTGAGAACAATCACTCCAAGAGTGCACTCTACTTAGCAAATGTTAAGGCGACTTAAACTTTAACTGAACTAATGTTACATTTTTATGGAAAAAAAAGATTACCATATTCCTTCTCCAGGTATTGCATAATAGCACACGAGTCTGCCAGGTACCCCCCGCGATGCTTTATGACGGGCACCTGTCCCTTGGGGTTCATCCGCATGTACCATGGCTCGTAGGTTTCTCCAAGAAGTATGTTCATGTATCGGCCCTTGAAAGGTATACTGCGAGCTTTCAGATAGAACAGCACCTGTAAAGAGAACACGTGCGCTATGTGTATACATCTATATACATGTGCAAGTTATAGCAATTTAAAATCAGTACCTTGTATCTGTAGTAAAAAAATTGAATATTATGTATACTGTCTGAAGTAACAGAAGCGAGTCTTGTGATTGATATCCCATGACTTTAGTGTACGTTCCGAACTTTCCTCGTTTTCCAAAAATGCAACAGGGTTATGGGGAGAATGAGGAAAGGCGTGTGATAGGTTGGTTAGACGGAGAAAAATTCTGTTTATCTCAGGAAAATTAGTTGAACATGAGTCTTTCGTGAAAAATCCCAATCTGGAGTTCTTTAAATGTAACGTGTTAGAAACAATCATTTCTGATATAGATTGCAAAACAACGGAATGTTTTATATTAGTTCACATACGGAAGCTACTGGTTGAGAGAATAATTTTTAAAAATCTTAGTAACTCCTTTCGCATCGTAAAAGACATTTGCTGAATGATAAAGTTGTATATTTAATCCCCCCCCCCCCCCATTTCGTTTAAACGGAGTATTTCCCGTCACCCGCTAACCTTATGACTAATATTTGCCGGCGGTTTGACATAGGTTTATACAGCTCATCTACACTCCTCGTACTACATTATACACCAATATTAAACCTTCAGGGAGGGATTCCGCACGATGGATAAAAATCTGCATTCCAAGATTTTGTGGTAGAAAATTTATTGCACATGTATAATGAACATATGCACATACCTTTAGGAGTCACAGTTACAAATTAGTGCAGTGATGAATGTAAGAAGGAGCAACTCTTAAACGTTTCTCACTTCTTTATGTGTTGGCCCTGCAATATGGATGCATACATACCGGATTTAAAATATCATTTATCTACACGTATTTATACGTGGTACTCTGCCCGTTAGTTCGTAAATTATGCAGTTGTCAGGTTTACGGTCTTGTCAGCAAAACATCTGCACACGCTTCACCCTTACGATGTGTGTGTGTGAGAGAGAGAGAGAGAGAGAGAGAGAGAGCGAAAGATGCACATCACCCCTAGTTTGGAGAGTTTGTTTTATCAGCTTGTCCATGACAATTCCCACTGTGATAACAGAGACCTTTCTAACTTAGGAGATGTAGGCCAACAGCGACACAACCACAGCATTTGTTCCGTTAGTTACAGTCAAGACGTTTATCAACAACGATCGGTCATTTGCGATGGATGGTATTAAAAAATATATCAAACTCATCTCACCCTTTGAGAGTAGTAGGATCCAGGAAAATAGTACAGCGTCAGCTCCTCAGTAGCCATGACTCGGTGTAGTTTGGTAGTAATACAGAGGTTGGCCGTGTTCGCAAATGACCGCTTTCTGACCCAGTTCTCAATTTAAACACTGCGCAGAGTCGCACCCTGAGTTCACCTACATTATAATCAAAAATAGAAAGAGTAGGGACATCAGTGTCGGATTTAGGGGGCAGGGGGGTCCTGACCCCCCCCTCCCTTTTGAATTCTTGATATTAGAAATTTGACTAGCTGGATCATAGTTCTTAACTGTACCAAATGGCCCTCTTAGGGCGCTTTCCCATAGATTTTAGATCGATCTATCCCCGTGGGGAGTCTCACTAGATTACTGTCAGATAATCCGGCTTAAATGTCCGTCCCGCCTACTACAAGCTGGAAGGGGGAAATTAACTTTCGTGCCCGCTCGGCGTGAACCCCCAGGGAGTTAGGTCGATCTAGTTGGATCGATCTAATTTCTTGGAATGGGGTCTTAAAATACCAATATATTAACAGTGAAAAGACAAGCACAGAAACTAGACATGAGGGCATTTGTACCTAGTCTGTAGTATTGCAGTGCTGTGGTAAATGAATAAATTAATAATACTTTTCATTTTCCATGGATACTTCAGCACGAGTATCAGCCTGTGTGAGCTTGAATTCAATTTAATGCATCTACTAGCTGTACTGTATATGAAAAAGACATTAGCGGTCCAAAGTTGTAGGATAGGAAGCGGAGAAAATTCACAAGCACTGATATTTAATATATGGAGAAAATGGTTTTAAGGCAGCTCGTTGAGCATATAAGAGATTTCTTTTACTACCCATCGCGTATGCTTCAGCAGTCGATCTTCTGTTCAAGGACGGCACGACCTCTGTCCCTTCTTTAATGAGTCAAACATTTTATTTCCTACAATCATTATAGTCAAATTTCTGAGTGAACAGGACTTCGACCCACCAAACTTTACATCAAACCTTACATTAATTGGCAGTGATTTTACAGAGCTTCAACATGACATACTCAGAGCGCTACAAGTGAAAGCTGTACACACAGGATTCCAGTTTTCGCATACTTCAAGACACGTTGGGATCATAACGTCCCATTGGACGGAGGAAGAAAACCCATTATGGCCAAAGGCAGAATTCCGTCTTGAACATGTTGAAAATTGCAACCAATTTACACAGTTTGATTTTAATTGCTTTCTCTGTTATTTGCACAGATACGTGTAATGGGAAACAAAAAACAACTTCATGAATTCCACAATGTACATCTTTTTATTATTATTTTAGTGTAAAATACACCATTCCAGCTTCACATCGCTTTGGTCATGGCAAAATTCACGGATTCATGACCAATTTTCACTTGTTGCTTATGAAAAAGTCCACATATATATACTATAGTCCACTCTACTTCTTCTTGGACACACCCACAGTTCTACCCCTGTGTCCAGTGGTCTTGGTGTGCTGACCTCTCACACGCAGGCTGAAAATAAATGAAATGTTTCAATTACTAATACATGTATCAATATAAAATTCTTATATAATGTAAATTAGATATTTAGCTTGTTTAAATTTGTTTCTTTGGAATCTAATTAATGGCCTTAATTGAATATCAGATTGTGCAATATATTCACAAGTGAAATTATGTGTTCTTTTATTTCAACAACAATCTGATGTGCAACTACTCGTTTCTGTACCTTCATCTTTAATTTAAGAAACCTGCATTATGAAAACAAGTCACTCTGAGTCTCTCTCCAAGTTACCTCAAACTTGCTTTTCTTGTGGTAAATCACTCAGGCAATACCCATTCAGCATCCCCCTCCTCAACACTTCAAACTTTAATCACAGAAATACCAGAGTCCCCTGTTAGAGCTCCCTACAAAAATTGAGAATTTCAACCTAACTCAGCTTGGACAACCCACCCTTATCCATCATCAGCCTGGCCTTTCCCCCAGCAGTGCCCGAGTCCCCTGTGGGCCCTCCCCACACCCAAACCTGGCCTTACTCCAGTACTGCATGAGCCCACTATGGTCCTCTCTACACCCCCACCCCAAAACTGGTCTTACCCCAAGTAGTGCCTGAGCCCTCTGTAGCCCCCACCCCCTCAAAACCTGGCCTTTCCCCTAGCAGTGCCTGAGTCCCCTATGCCCCCCACCGAAACCTGCCCTTACCCCCAGTAGTGCCTGAGCCCTCTGTGGGCCCTGATCTTCTTCAGTCTCTCCAGATCTTCACGGAGCTTGTTGTCCAGGCTGTTGGACATGACCTGGGTGTATTTGCCGTCCTTGACGTCCTTCTGTCTGTTCAGGAACCAGTCAGGAATCTTGTACTGGCGAGGGTTGGACAGGATGGTCATCATACGCTCAACCTGTAAGTAAACAAGCATGCGGGCTGTAGTGTTGAACTGGGATAATTGTTTTAGTATCGGCGGTGTATTTGTGGTATTTTCACATGATGGAAGGACTTTTGGGGGAGGGCGTTTATAGATTTTTAACACACTGATGGAGTATTGTATCATGAATTATGTTTTGAGTTTAAAACTTATAACATATGTACAACAACAGAATTTTAAATTAATAGAGCTGAACACCTACCTCTTCCTCACTGAGCTCTCCGGCCCTCTTGCTTAGGTCAATGTCAGCCTTTCTGGCACACACGTGTGAATAACGGCGACCAATACCCTACAAGTAACACACATAAACTGTTGAACACATTCCCATTAGAATACACAGTAACACAGTTAATCAAATAATATAAAACAATCTTTATTGTTTAAGTCAAAACAACTATTCCCCTCTCTTCTTTCCCTATTTCTGAACAATTCAAATCAAAATACAGCAACTTTGTTTGATGTTTTAAGGGATAATGAATTCCATACATTACCAAAAGAACCAACGAGTGCACTTGGAAACTGTCTATATGCAACTTACATGATCTAAGCCTAAGGACACAACATTCGGCTTTACCACTAGCAAGTTTTAACAAGTTTGTACAAAAAATCGGTTTCCTTACTTTGATTGCGGTCATGGCGAACGCAATTTTGCGTTTGCCATCAATGTTGGTGTTCATCACACGCAAGATGTGCTGGAACTTCTCTGGCAGTACCAACGTCTGAAATGAAACACCATAATACAAGATTAGGATAAGCGTGGACATTAACTGCAATAATTTTCACAAAGTGCAAAAAGCAGGCCTTAAATAAAAGTATACTCGTGTACTTTATAAACGAAGTAACATTATGTTTGCCTTAATTGGCGAGAATCATGTTTTACAGGGACAGATGAAACGGATTTTAGGTTCACTATTGACTGATTGCACCCACCATCTTGGCTGCTTGGAAGGAAAAGGAAGTCTTTTACGCATGCGCATATCGACATCCAACATGGCAGGTCTTGCAGCCGAAGATTTTTCGGACGAGGTAGTTTTGTTTTGCAGAAACTTTTCGTTTCTTTATTTATACTAAAAACAAAATCACCAAACGTTTAAGTGTATTTATTATCTAAATATGTGAATTAAAAGGATTTCAGGCAGATCAATGTGTTAGAGAGGACTCCAAAAGTTTGGTGCGGCTTGATGTTTGCAGTTGATCACCGCCCCCCCCCCCCCCCAATCCCCTGCACTCTTATTTGCGACTGTATTGCAGGTCTTTCTGTCTAGCACTGGATGTTACGATGATTCAGTATTTGATTTATGAACTAGTTCAGTTGATCAGTACAAAAAGCAAATGTGTACTTTGCACTGGTTGTATTGAGGTCTCCAAAAAACGGTATACTACATGTACAAAGCAGCTAGTTAACAGTGCTGAATGTTTACTTGTAGTTTAATGTCATTTGATTTCAGATCATTGATCCAAATCAGTTACACATGGGGGAACTTGACTTAACTTCAGAAGACTTTCTTCTTGATGAAGTAGATTGTAAGTTATTATAATATCTTACAGCTTTTATTATCAGACTGTAGCCAGCAATTTCAATTTTTTTCTGAAAAAGTGGACCCTTTACCATAAAATAGTGCCATATAATAATATAATATAATACACTGTATATTCTTGTTGTTAAAGAGTGTAGTCATACAAGTAGGTTGTCTGAAGAAAGAATGGCAAACCTCTGTATTTGTTCTGTTTTTTTGCAGTCCATATCCAGCAAAATTTAGAAGATGACATTGTAAGGGAGGCCCTCAAAACAGTGAGTTGATGCTTATGAACTTATGGAAATATGCAGAGATATATTCAATTTTTGCTACATTAGCTTTATTGTTAAATACATTTTCTGTTTAAAAGGTTGAATTATTATTATTATTATATTTATTATGTGTAAAGGTATATAATAATTACTAGTACTCGTCATAAGTAGATAATTTTTCTTATACTTGTGAGGTAGTTATAAAGACAAGTGTAGTTGATATTCTCTGGTGAGGCTGATATGATGTGCTATTTATACATTCCAGGGTGTTGACCTGAGGCAGTATTCCAAACAGGTAGAACAGGAACTTTTAGAAGTGGAAAATGCCTCCATTCAGGACTGTATCCTTTCTTATCCCAACCAGTGGCTCTTACAATAAATGCTTTTTCAACCCTAAACATTGTTGATATTTTAATCACTCTCTGTTAATAAAGTTAAACATTGAGCAGGAGGAGGTAAAATACATAGAGAAGAAAAAGGAGAAAAATATGCTTGATGTTTTTTATGCTGTCACTTAAAAACCTTGACCAACACACAACAGATATTAAAGAAAGTCAGAACATTGCCAGTCTACACACACAGATAACAGCTTGTGATTCCATATTGGAGGTGAGTTGATCATTTATTTGTGTCATGAACAGGGTTTGTTATGACAGAAATCAGTTGCCTGGGTACCTACTATTGGTGCAAACCTATGAACTATAGTCGGCTTTTCCAAATGGGCAATATTGGATGTTTAAGTGATTTTCAAGAGAGTGCAACTTGCAACTACGTTAAAATGTTGTGTGTGTGTGTGCGTGCGCTTGCATGAGCTTGTGTGTGTGTGTGTTTATTGGAGACTGGATGACTCAGGGGAGAAAGCCTTGACAATAACACACACAATTGTTCTTCTTTCCCAGACCATGGAACAGATGCTGCAGAGTTTTCAGACTGACCTGAGCAGCATCAGCAGTGAGATACAGACTCTTCAGGAACAGTCCATTGCTATGAATATCAAGCTCAAGAACAGGCAGGTAAGATGATTTCAAGTAATATGAATACACAGTATATCAACACATTTTCACTGGGATATATTGGGTCCAATGGTTCAAAGCCTGTGGTCTCCACACCTGTCTGTAGTCGGTTGAATTAGATTAGTTAATATTAAACTAATTGTCATCGTATTAATTGGTTGTATGATGTCTGCATTTTGTACACAAGGAATTTTGAGTTGAATGTTGTATATTTCAGGCTGTGAGAGGGGAGCTCAGTCAGTTTGTTGATGAGATGGTAGTCCCAGAGTCCATGATCAAGTAATATAACAGTTTTTTTAAGTGTAGAATACCTGGAAATACTTTCTTTTTGCATAAGTTTGAACTAACATGATTCCTTTTTTTTGTTTGATTATGTTTTGTTTATTATACAAATCATTTCTGAATTCGTGAGATGTTACTTTGTTCTCATTATTGTTCTCATTATTCAAATATTGAAACTACTTCAGTATCAAAGGCAATTGAATGTGAAGATATTCAGATCATTGCACTTCAGGTGCCTAGATCATTGATGATGTATCACTTTTGCAGTCATATATTAGACAGTCCAGTGACAGAGAGGGAGTTCTTGGAGCAACTACATGAACTAAACCACAAGATAAACTTTGTAAAGGAGCAATCTTTTAAAGAGTCAAGATCATGTATGGATGTAAAGGACATACTAGAAAAGCTGAAGATTAAGGTATTTAGTGACAAAGTTTTAATTATTGAAATGTTGAAACACAAAAGGAAGGCTGCTTGATTTAAATGTATATATTATGATTTATTGTATATAAAGTTTATATGATGATTAAATTTGACTTAAATTTCCATATTCAAATTATTTTAATTATTATCAATACTGTAACATTAAAATTGCAATAAGGTCATCCCGTTTATGATAATACAAGTACGATACTGTGTAAAGTATGAATGACAAGATATGTATTCAAAACTACCTTATTTGTTTTTACACCATTTGCCTATAATATTTCATTTCCTTAGGCCATAGCAAAAATCCGAGAGTTCCTACTTCAAAAAATTTACCAGTTCAAAAAGCCAATGACAAATTATCAAGTACCCCAGAATGCTATGCTCAAGTTTAGGTGAGGGGTTAACACTGTATGAGTTAACAAAAAATCAAGTTAATCAGCGTCCTTGTCTTGTGTGTGATCAAACTTCTTCATCTAGAAAAGAACACAGAATCCATCAAAATCCAGTGACTTATGACTATTACTGATAAAGAAAGAATATTCTAGTTCTAAAAACTATCTTGAACTGCTTTTAGTCTAACTTTTGATTACCTGATTAGTAATTGACTTATGAACTCAGAAGGGACTGTTTTTATTTTAAAGGGTGTGATTGATGGCTTGGTAACTGGCACATTGCATATGTTTCATATTCATATGTGTATTTTCAGGTTTTTCTATGAATTTCTACTGGCCAATGAGCGACATGTTGCCAAGGAAGTTCGTGATGAATACCTGGACATAATGAGCAAGATTTATTATTCTTATTTCAAAGGATACTCCAGTCGCCTTATGAAACTACAGGTAAGTCCTATGGTAGATATTAAAAGGAAAAAAAGGTGAAAAAAAAGGTCAGTACTGTAACCAGGGGGTGGGGATGAGCTCAGGGAGTTTCCAAGAAACGGCCCTTTTTGCCAGGAACCAGGCTGCTCTGCATAAAATTTGATTTAGATCCATGAAGATTTCAAGGGAAAAGGTCCAGTTAGTTAAACCCCCCCCCCCTCCCTGTGAAATTGCTGGCTGCAGGCCTGTATGTGCACCATTTTCCCAAGATAATTATTATAGATTAGTGATAAATTTGAGTTATTTAAAGGTGCAACAACACTTGAATTGCATTTTAACGGCATTAAAAAATTTATAGAAAAATCTTAATTTCATAAACTGTTTTTTTAGTGTATGCCTTAAGTGTAATGGCCTAAAATGTAAAATAATTATAATACATTGAATCACCTGTTAGAGAATAATGTTGCAAGCTTATTAGTGAAACACCTTCAATATTCTTCTTTCAGTTTGAAGAAGTAGCAGACAAAGATGACTTGATGGGTGCTGAAGACACAGCCAAGAAAGATATCCTTTAAGCATAGTAAACAATTTATTTGAAAAGTATTAAACTCTTTTACTTATGTAATTTTGTAATTGTCATATCGATTGGGAATTGTTTCTTAACACCACCCACGTTTCTTTTCCTCCAAGCCAGCTCTGAAAAATAGGTCCACAATATTCACTGTGGGGAACAGAGGTGCTGTACTAACATCAGAGTTAGAAGCTCCAATAATTGTTCCTCATGCTGCACAGAAATCAGATAAAAAGGTAAGAGTATATCTTTTGACTCAGAGGTAGAATGTGTATAATACTGGTAAGTGGCAAATTTTGATTTCCCATAAAATCTCTAAATTGAGTGCATGGTTTAACAAGTTTTGAGTTACAAAATGTAACTTTTTACCAAACTCTCTCTTATAACAATATAAAATTATGTAATATGATTATAATGTTTTCTTTTTGTAGTACACCTTTGAGAGCCTCTTCCGTAGCCAGCACTATGCCCTGCTGGACAACTGTTGTAGNAACGCACAAACACAATAGCTTAGGTGGAATAACACAATACTTAATACGTGTGAACCCCATGACGCCGGTTTCTGTGGCCCAGCGCGAGCGTGACAATCCGCTGTAACTAGGTGTAATTAACAGCAGGATACATCAGCCAGAAGGTCCCTATTGTTTGTTGCGGCGATAGGATTATAGCTTGAAGAAACTAAACCCATGCTAAGGCGTGCCACTCGAAGCGAACTGTCCTTTTGTTCACTAGTTTGGCACGCGCAGCTGGTTTTTAGTGTTGCTAACAAACTGCTAGTTAAATTTGTTATCAGTTATTTCATCCTATATGAAATTTCCGCAGTCAAAAATTGAACTAATTATTGTTTGTTTGGTTGAAATGCATAAGCGTCAGCATCAATCTGTCTCAAAAAATTCCTATCGCATTAATTTATAAATGTATAATTTATTTATGTACTTACGTTTTAATTTGAAATATCTGTATTCAAGCGTTCAAGTATTTATAAAACATGAATGATAATGAAAGAGGAATAAGGAAAAAACATATTACTTATATTATGCTTATATTATAATATTGAAATTAAATGAGGTGCATTGACATAGGCGCAATGACAATCCAACTACAACGTGCAACAGGGGGAAGTCTGGCTGTATGATCATACAATATACGAAAGTACGGTCAATTAAAAGTGTAAATCATCAGTTAAAGAGGAGGGGGTCTTACTATAGCTCGCTATCTATTGTTAAACCCGACTGTTATTATCTCTCGAACAAGCTTAAAGCATGCCTATACAATTACTGTGTCTCCGGTTGCCGTTCAGAAACACCATGTCGAACATATTTTGCTACAGTGAGAAACATGGTACACTAGCGACTTGTTTTAGATCACTCAAGAAAGGATGCATACGTGCGACACCAGAGGAAAAACAATCAAGTATGCATCTGATCCATTAATAGTACAAGGTATTGGTATTATTGCTGCTCAAATTAATACCTGATATAATTTCTCAGGCAACCAAGTACATATCCACTCATTTTTGTGGCAGTTGACCATTACATCATGTGTGCAGGTTATTATTATTATCATTATTATTATTTGATCAAGCACATTTGATAAAGTGGCCATGCTTTAACAAGAGAGAGTCAAAATTCATGCTGAATTTTAAAAGATTAAATCATCACTAGTATGTGCAATTAAAGCTATTTGATTATACATATTTGATTTTCAATTATATTGATTATGATATGCGGTTTCTGCCTTTTTTCTCTCGCCCTGAAATATAAATATATAACAAGTAAATTGATAGTGCTTTATTACATTTTTGCTTTATACTTTCAGATGCAAAAACTGCGTAGAAGTTGGTAAAGCTGTAGAGATTGATGTGAGCATAGATCAGGGGAAAACAGTATTAGAGAAACTAGGAGGACAAGACATAGATAATGTACTATAAATATATAACAAGTAAATTGATAGTGCTTTATTACATTTTTGCTTTATACTTTCAGATGCAAAAACTGCGTAGAAGTTGGTAAAGCTGTAGAGATTGATGTGAGCATAGATCAGGGGAAATAGTATTAGAGAAACTAGGAGGACAAGACATAGATAATGTACTAGTAGATCCATCATCACTGTAAGGGTAGTTTGTGTGATCCTGTCCCTGAAACTGTGCCACAAGTTTTCAACTGGTTGAGTCCTTACTAAGACAAACTGCTGCGGTGTGAATTGCAATATGTACATTCAGGTTATATGTGTCAGAGTGATGACAAAAAAGACCTCCACAATATAATTCAAAGGATTTATCCTTGCATCTATGCCTCATCAAAAGTACACAGTGACAGTGACTAGAACATTGTTTGTAAATAGTGAGGCAGTGAAGGCTGCAAGGTGCCATTGTATTTCAGTATTACAGAGAATGACAGTATCTGTTTTTTATTACTTATTCATTTTTAACTCACTTTGTTCTTTAAAATGCCCATTCAGTTTAAGGTTGTTGGCAATATATGGTAAATCTGTCATGCCTGTACACATGTAGGTAGAATTTCTCTTGCTCAAATTTCTACATTTATTGAGGGCATTATGAAGTTTCCTGACTGATTAATGAGGTTACTTGTAGAAATATCTTGCCTACACACATTTTGTGAAATTTTTACTACTTTATACATATGATTATTTACATCTCATCATTTGTGTGTGAAAGGTACTTGGTATTTGCATTTTAGAACTCTAGATCTGGGGCCAATTCCATAAAAGCATTCTTAGCCCTAGTTTGTTGCTAAACTTCATTCTATCTCTAGTTACATACTAACTCTATTCCATAAAACCATTCTAAGCCTAGTATAGTTCTAAGTTTCATGCTAAAGTTAGAGTAGGTCTGGGTATCTTCTAAATCACTAGTATCATTCTAACTCATTTTTACTCATACCTCCGAGGTGTAAGGATCGCCATGAGAATTTTCGAAATTGTGAAACTCCGGTCCGCAGAGCAATATAGTGGGAACGAGTGTTTCGGGATAGAAGAAATCCGTTGGACATTTTGTGATGATGTGGAACTTGTAAAAAGATACATATTTTCCAGAGAAGGCATTTTGCTGATAACTGTCATTGTCAAAAATTACATTACCCACCATACCAGGAGAAATAATGCCTAACTGCCTTATTACAGTTAAATGGACACAGAGCACGTGCATTACTTATACAAAATAGATTCTAAACTTTATTCTTGCTTTGGAGAATGAAATGAGAAATAACATTGGCTTTAATGTTTTGACAGGAGATTTAATAATAATAATAGTAAGTTTATTGAGCACTAAGTGATATGAATACATTTGCTGGCTCTCTAGACTACATTATTTACACAGTATATATGGGTATACAATTATATATGTTTACATATGTAGTATGTTCAATTACACATGTGTTAATGCAAATTATGCTATAAGATTAATTAATTAAGCTATTCACAGCATTATTGACAATTAGTGGCTGTGATGTGCTAAATTTCAGGTGAACTATGTATTTTAACAGTCACAGGTGGATTAAGGAGAATTGACAATATCTGATCACTGTCATCTAGACCCACTACACTAATATCAGTAGTTCATCATGTATTCATTGCCTTTCAACAGCGTATCTTGTACATTCTGTGAGGAAATGTCTTTCATCCTCTACGCAGTTGCAAGCTTTACATTTTCTCTCATCAAGTGGAGTTTTAGGGTTTGTGTATCGGCCTCTTTCTATTGCCAGGTCGTGATCACTAAGTCTAATTTTTGCCGGTGTTTTGATATCTATAGAGAAGACACTCATTTTGATGTAATTTTCACATTCATAAGATTTTTAAATTGTTTTGTATGTCCTTAATTTGTTTGAGGTCGAGCTATTTAATTCCTGCCAAAAGAGTTTTTCAATTTTTATGTTTAATTTTTCTACTAGGTTTTCTATTTGATGTAATTTCTTTGGTGGCTTGTTATCTTCGGAGAAACCCCAACTATTTTGAAAAGATTGGATGGATTCTGTCCATGTGTTTCCCTTTGTATCTTGTTCAAGATTGTACACCTGCTTTAAAATTCTATTATCTGGTAGTTGTTCCAGTCTAACACTATATCTTTGGACAAGTTTAGCTATAGTTGAAAAAATAGGGTACCTGCCGAGGTCAGCTCTAGACATGGTATTGCTAGCCTGCTTTCTTCAACCTAAAATCCATTTGCAAAACTTCAAGTGTACCTGTTCGAATGTCATTGTATTAATCTTCTTCAGAGACATGTTTTACTGTTTTAGTATCTCCTGTGACCAGACCTCACAGCCATAAAGCAAAATTGGTTTGATGAGTTTGTCAAATAAGTTCATGCACAAAAGTGGTTTGAAAATGTTTTGAGAGGCAAGTGCTCCTTTGAGGGAAAACATGGCTTTTAGGGCCTTTTTCTTTAAATTTTCAATTGCTTCATTAGTATTGGAGAGAACTATTCCCAAATATGGGTATTGTTTTACTTCTTCTATGGGTTCATCGTTTATGTAAAATTTTGTTTGATGGTCAAGTTTGCCCTTCTTGCTAAACACCATTATTTTTGTTTTCTTTGTATTAATGTGTAGCTTCCACTTTTGACAGTACTGTTCTAGTTTGTTCAGAAGATTTTGCAGTCCATCCTTTGTTCTTGACAGTAGGACCAGATCATCGGCATAGAGTATGTGATTGATGCCATCTACCTTGTCTGTGGTTTTGCATGTGTGGAAAGATTCTTTTATATCGTCTATGAATATATTAAACAGTGTTGGGCTTAGATTATCGCCTTGGCAGGTTCCAATTTTAGCAAGAAAGGGTTTGGTATAGCTGTTGCATATGGAGATTCCTAATTTAGTATATTTGTACATATGTTTAATCAGATTGTAAAATTTTCCTCCTATTCCAAGTTTCTGTAATTTGAGTAGTAGACCTTTGTGCCACACTGAATCAAATGCCTTTTTAAAATCAATAAAACATGCATAGACCTTCCTATTTTGATTTGTATATCTGTTAATAATTGATTTAAGTGTGAAAATGTGATCAGTTGTTCTGTAACTTGGTCTGAACCACCCTGTTCTTCGCTGAGTTTGCCTTCCTTTTCAATTAAGTCAGTTAGCCTATTTGCCAGAATAGAATTAAATAACTTACCCAAACAGCTTGTAATTACAAAGATCCCTATAATTTGAGGGATCCAGACACTCACCAGACTGAAAGAGTGGTATGACTATGCCTAAATTCCAAGCATCAGGGATCTCACCAGAATTTAAGACCAGGTTAAAGATTTTAGTCATCGCACCAGTTAGGTATGGTCGCCCAGTCTTAAGCATTTCATTTCATATACCATCTGCCCCAGGTGCTTTGCCGTTTTTTAGTTTTCTGAGTGTCTTTTGGACCTCCTGAATGGTTATAGGGTAATCCAGTTTGGGATTCCCAGGGCAATGTTTATATCTTTTCAGTTCATCATCAATGTCATTGTCACCTAGAGGCGGGATACCACACAGTTGTTGGAAGTAATTGTGCCATACATCAGGGG